GTTTAAAAAGAAAGGTCATTATTAGAAGAACCAGCTCAAATATGACAACAGCATTTACATGGTTTCTATGAGAGGTCAGTAGTGAATGATAGTCCGAGAAGACATAAGGTAGAGGACTCTTTGAGAGTATTCCCATTGTCATTGAATGTTATATTTCCATGACAAGAATGTTCATCAATATAGGAATATCAACAACATTGCAATGAATAACATTTTGAAAACAAGAACTAGTCAAGCACTTATTAAATAGTTTAGAGAGAACTGAAGCAAGTGAACACATTCCTGAATCATAGTCTTACAAAAGTGTTCTGATGAACGCTTTTGTAAGACTATGACAGGAATTCTTTTGAGACCAGAAGCCATAGAAAAGAAATAGCTTTAGTGACCGAAGTTGGAGTGATTTAGTTGTCTAACAATAGGTTAACCTGTTCAACTGGTTAGGTGGCAGGATAAGTATGACAATTAAAGTCAAAAGTCGAATTAGAGGAAAAGCTCTTTGCGAATATTATCCTTGGGAGAGGTAATTAGATTATATAGAGGTTATATAGATTATATATATAAATAGATTATATAGATATTATAGAGCTAAATAGCCTTATCCTTGGGAGAGATAAAAAGATTAGACTTATGAATTAGAAATGGAATGTTTGACTTACCTTTGTTAATGATATGATTGTATAAGATAAGCAGTAAAACAAATATTATTGAACAGCAACTTTTTTCGATAGGCGATAAATTTGTTAGAGATAAAAATTATTCAGTTGAAATAGTGATAAGAGTATTTGAGTACTTTGAAATTCACGTTCTACAGATAATTGTCTCTGAGAAGACTTTCAACCTCCTAGCATTACAACATTAGCAAGACTAACATCAAAAGTAAAATCTATTCATGAGGATATTTATCTACAAAAAGTTTTTTCAAGCTTAATAGACATTAGATATAAAAACTGCATTCTTCTATTATAGTATTGGCCATTAATAACAATCCATCATTATTTTAGTATGAATACAAGTTTGAAATTTAATCTTTTATAAACTAAAAATGATTTTTTTGATTTTATTTTTTGATTTTTTTAAGTTTTTTTTTATTAAAATAAATCAAATAATTACAATATAAATTTAATGTAAAATTAAAAAAATTAAAAACTAAAATATTGAAATAAAAACTAGTGTTCATTAGCATAAAAAAAAAAAGTTAAAATAAACAAACCACAAAAAAAAATTAACAAACTTTAATAAAAAAATATTCACAAAGCATATATAAAAAAAGATTTATTATTTTGGTGACAATCCTTTTGCTTTTAAGCATTATTTGATATGTTTCAGCATGAAATTCACTAAATTCTGAGTAATATCTTTTGGAACACTATTCAGTAATTTTGTTATTAATTCTTTCAGGTGGTCCAGATTTTTTATTTCAATTTTACCAAGATTGTGGTTTAAACAAAACCACAGATTCTTTATTTAATTAAGATCTGGACTGTTGGAAGGCCAAGACACGATTTTAATGTTATTTACTTCAAATAATTGCTTGCAAATCTTAACAGTATGGAGCATTATCTTTTCGGGAGATAGTTCCCATGTCTAATGGGAAAATGTCAATAGAAGGCATTAAATAGTTAAACAATATGTCAAATATATTTTAACTTTTAGAATCAATCCTTCCATCAAATAGTTTAGAATAACCGACATTTTCATAGTTCATGCAGGCCCTATACTACCACTAACATGTTTTGTTCTATATATAGAACAATTTGGGTCAATTTTTTTATCAACATTACTTTGTTTTTTATTGAATCAACCTCAGCGTTTATTTCGTGCACTAGCAATAACACCAGAAACTTTTGCCCTTTGACTGAGATCAGTAGATGATAAATATATATACATATATTTTTTTCACTATGTGAATAAGTGAACATTCATTTCTTTTATTTGAAATGCTGGGTCTTCCACACAAACAATTTTTAATCGTATTGCATCTTAAATATTGGCTGATTATTCAGCTAAATGTAGCATGTGTTATGTTAAAATGTTTTGCAATTTCTCTCATTAAGATGTTTTGTTCATTCATTACTATGATTTTGCATTTTGTTATATTATCAATAATTTTTCCAGTCAATTTGATCCTTTTATTGCTGAAATATTGCAGTTAATTAGATACTCATTTTTTAATTTTATTTTATGCAAATTTTTTAAATATTTATAACAATTTAAATAAAAATTCTCAAATAATTATAAATAATTTGCAAATAAGTACAAAGTTTTAATCAAAGATAATTGAAGTTTTGAAGGAAATTTGAAATAATAGAGTGGATTGTTAATTTTAGCCATTATAGTTATTTTAGATTATGGGATATATGTCAAAAAAAAGCAATATAATTAGCTCATCAAATAATTTTTTTATATCTATATTTATTTGAAGGAAAATAAGATGCTCATCAATATACACTTTTTATTTAAAAAGATCAAACAATCATTGATTTAATATTAATCAAAGTTGAATGATATCAAAAAAAAACATTGGTTGTTATTAATGGCCAATACTGTAGATGAAGATGCTAAAACTATGTTGCAGTACCATGGGGAGCAGTTTTTGGAAAAATTAGCAATCTAAATGTTTTTGCAAATATTGTTTTAAGTTTAATGGTGAATAATTTGTTTGGTGGACCCAAATGTAAAGTGCTTCCTGTGTGTGAAATCAATTCAAATTTTCTTTTTGAACAAACTACCTTTCATTTATCTGCTACAAAGATATCATATTGTAATATTGGTCTCATATTGTAACATTGCATAAATTAGAATCAAATCAAATGATTAAAATGTTTAAATTTACAGATGTTGCTGTGTTCCCAAAACCAATTGAAAAGCAAAAAATTTTAACTTGTCTGAAAGTATTTTGCAAAGAAACAGTTTGTATTTTAAAATGTCACCCAGAGTTAAAATGTTGATGATACTATTTTCTTTTGATAATAACTGAATTTTGGAGAATTGTTAATATTCATAGCCTTTATGCAGATGTACATATGCATGATTCGAACCAGGCTGCTATTTTCTCTTCTGATATTTTAATCTTCAAAAGCTGTTAAAATTCGGAAACACGGTTAAGCAAATGTGCTCTTCTCAATAGTTCGTTTTAAAAGCTTCACTAAAGATACTTTTAAAAGTCTCTATCATACTTGAGACAAAGTATGATAGAGACTTTTAAAAGTAAAAATTATAAAAGCAAAACTACTTTTGCAATTGGATAAATATGGTGTTAGTCTTGATTTTACTACATCAGTACATATGAAAAATGTGGTTTTTACTTAAATATTTGATATTTGATAATGTACCAGAATTAAAAAGTGTATTATCTATAAATGTCAAAATAACTTAAATTTACATAGCTGGCTATATTTACATAGCTGGGCATATTGCCAGAAAAGATGAAGATTTTAATAACTCATATTTTTATTATGAGAAATTTAGAGATTTTACAGAGGAAATCAATTGTGGAGGATTAGCTGTGCCTGTTGACTTTTGTCAATTAGTAATATATTGCTATATTATGTTTTGTGAAGAAGCTGATAATACATGCATATCTTTTTTTGTGCAATCTAATGATGCTTGTATTGGAATCCTATCAATTAACTATGAACAGAAACCATGGTGTTACACTTTCAAACATTTTTATAAAAAAACTATTGTAATTTGTATTCTCCAAGGTCTGAAAAAAAAACAAAAATTTTTAAAATTCTGTTAAATAATAAAGGTCAACAGGAACTGTTTTCTGCTAAACTGAACTGTTAAATTAAAAAAGTGCATATAGTTAATATAGTTAAAACTGCATATAGTTAATAGAATAAAAGAAAAAGTAGTATTATTTTTTAATATATTTTTAATACATTTTGTTGTTTATTTTTATTTTTTCCTTAAAAATTAAATTTCAAGTTTAATTCAGGTTATTTTTTCTGTGTTTTTGTCTTTGTTCTTTTGTTTAAAAAAACTTGCCTCCTCTGTTATAAAGTATGCTGTGGGCTTGATTTTAAACCAATGAGAAGAAATGAATGCCTCCATACATACCTGGATACTGGAATTTACGTAGAAGCTGCAATGATCAGCACAGACATGAAAGACATTAGTCCATGAATTGTCACAAATAAAAATCAGATAAAAAATCCAAGTCAGCTTCAAGTCTGAGCAAGAAGTATTAAAGATTTAAAGAGAGCACAACCAAATCACCTTAAGGAGAACAAGATGAAACTAAACACCAGCTAGGATTAGAGATAAAGTTTCATTGATGAGTGACCCTTTGATTTTTTTCTGAGCACAAATTTTAAAGATATTAAAGGAGATATTAAAATCATATATTCATATATATATATATATATATATATATATATATATATATATATATATATATATATATATATATATATATGTGTATATGTATGTATGTATGTATATATATATATATATATATATATATATATATATATATATATATATATATATATATATATATATATATATATATATATATATATATATATATAGTCTTGCCGGAAAGAGTTTGTTTGTTTTTTTTCTCAAATGATAGACTGCCTGCCCTAACCAAACCCTCAGTCGATGTAGTAGCACTCTGTTGTGAGTCAGGCTATTAGGTAGTCGATGTAGCAAAACTCTGCGTATGTTTTAAAAATATATTTTAATAAAACAAAAACACTATTAATTAAAAAAGACTTTCTAGTCATTATTATTTTGGATTTTTAAAAAGCTATAAAATTTAATGTACTTCTGCATTAATTTAATTGCTTTGACTTTTTGATTACAATAAAATGTAGCTTAATTGTTAAAGTTGCAAAATTGTTGCCAAAACAATACAGTACAATTGTGTGTACACACCCACACTTGTACTGTATTTGTTTTATAAAGTTATGTTACCTTCTATTTCAGCTTAGACTTTTTTTTTTAAATAATTTACAATATTTAATTATATAATAATATCTAATAGCAGTTCAAGCAATTTAAAAACATAATGGTGATGTTATTTTTTAAGGATGGTAAAGCCCCTTATGGCTCAAGATACATTGGGTCTATGGTTGCAGACATGCATCGAACCATCAAATATGGAGGCATATTCATGTACCCAGCAAACAAATCTGCTCCAGATGGAAAAGTGAGTCTTGTTGTTAGTTTTAATATTAAATAATTGTAAAATGTTGTTAACAATACTTCTACATATATTTACTAAGTTGGTTTTTAATAACTGACTGATTTAAAAATCAAAACGGAAATGTTCAAAGTGCCAGGAATATATATATATATATATATATATATATATATATAAATATATATATATATATATATATATATATATATATATATATATATATATATATATATATATATATATATATATATATATATATATATATATATATATATATATATATATATATATATATATATATATATATATATATATATATATATATATATATATATATATATATATATAAAGAGTTTTAAAAACAAAATTTAACACTATTTAAAATAAAATAATAAAATTTTGATTTTTTGAATAATTTAAATCACAAGTCTACATTACAGTCTGTAAACTTTTCTAAATCAGAATAAAAATATGAGACAATATATGGCCCTGGTTTTACAACTGTTTTATAATACATCCACGTCTCAGTTTCTAAATACAAATTCAAAATATTTTACCATCTTCAAAAAATAATAAATTTAGATTCATCTGTCGCCAAAATAATGCCCTATTTCTTATTTGTCCATGCAGAATATTTGTCACAAATCTTTCTTGCTTTTACATGTCGTTTTATAACTAAGGTGCACTGCTTAGTAATATGCTTTAACTAAACGTCTTTTAATTGTATGTGAGGTTACATTTAGTTTTTATTTATTTTTTGTTGTTGCTGGAGATAAACGGATCTTTTTTACTTTTTACAAACAATTAAATTATCTTTTCAGTAAGTTGTTTTACTTCTGCGAACTCTAGTTTCCACACTTTTTTATGTTTTAAGAGCATTTTGAACCATTTCAAAAGATTGCTATCTTATTCCTGAAATTTCTCTATATGACTTTCTTCTGCTTTTAAGTTGCTGAATTATCAAAAGCTCAACCGGTGCAACGCGATTTTCTACCCATAATATCTTATGTTAACATGTTTAATCAGCCCTCAAAATTAGGACATTAATTCTACATCAGGACATGGGGAAAATGTGGTTTTTACTTCAATCTGTTTGATATTTGATAACTTAGGGATTGTCCATAAAGTATGTACGCTCGGAGGGGAAAAGGGGGTCTGCAAATGGCGTATATAAGATGTGAGGTCAATTATAAAAGAAAGGAGACATTAAATTTAAAAAAATATCATAAAATGTTAGATAAATAGGTTAAAAGCGTAGGTACTTTATGGACGACCCCTTAGCAGAATTAAAATATGTATTATCTATAGATGTCAAAACATTGATGAAGATTCAGATGACTCATTTTTATTATGAGAAATTTTATTGTGGAAGATTAACTGTGCCTGGTGATTTATGTTTATTGATTTATTATTATTGGTTTACGTTTTGAATTATGATTTTAACAAATTTAACAATAAAACACAAAAGAAAGTTCAATAGAGCACAAAAGAAAGTACAATAGTATAATATTGAAAAAAAAAAGAATATAAAAAGGTTCATAACTGGCATAAAAATTTGTAATCATTTTGTTAAGCATAAAACAATTTTAAACATTTGTTTATTATCAAGATTTCATTTTAAAAGTATAAGTTGGTTGACATGTTCTGTTTAATCGATAACCTCTCTGAGCAAAATTCTATTTATCTTATGCTAAAAACACATCTTGCTGGTGATAACTTAAGCTGTGATAACTTGAAGCTGGAATTCGAGGAATATGTTTTGCAACTCTATTCAAAAATGAAACGTCGACCTCTTTGCTTGCCCACCAGATTAATGGAATTTCATTCATATATATTTTTTTTAATTTCTAAATTTTGAGATTTTATCTATTAAATTTTCAGGTTGGTTTGGAGCAATAGCGCTTTCATCGCCAAAATCTATTACCTTGAAGCTAAAAAGTTTGTTCAGCATTGTGGTTCGCTTTTCTAGTTGTGTAGTAGATAGTTAAGCACTTGTTGAAACAATTTTTGTTTAAAATTATAATTATTTAACTCATCCGAAAATTTTGAAAAAATAAGATTTTATTATCTTACTCAGAGAAATGAGAAATTTTTCTTAATGTTCAATGCAGCTTTTTTTAATAATTGTAATAATCCTAAAACTTTTTCTCAAATTAGGTAAGTTTAAAGGTTTTTATGAGAGCATTTTGAATTCTTTACTAATATTTTTATCTTTAAAAATCTTTCTCTTAAATCATTTTTCAAAACATATTTCATATCTATTAAATATTGAATCTTTATTTATCATCTGCCATATGCCATAAGAGTTTGATTAGCATCGGGTAAATCATTGAAATCCCAGCAACACAAGAAAGAGCCAACGTAACGCCCTTTGCAATGCGCATGATATTTACTACTTTATTAACATTATCAACAGTTGTATTTCGTGTTTCTTCTTTAAATATATTTTATCCACATTTGTGCTTTACTGTTTAAAAGTAAATACCTTTCTGAGTTTTACAGAAATAAGGTGTGGGGTGTTTAATCTTTTAGTAGAACTAACAAAAATCATTTTGTATCAAAGTAATGATAGTCCATACGATATTATATCGAAATCAATCAATACGATATATCAAATTATCCCTATATCGTTGCATCCCTAATATATTAGGTGTTGTTATTTACTATATACACTATATAACAACTATATATACTTTATATTAAATTTTTCATATACTAGCGTTCCCTAGTCTCTACAATCCAATGTTAATACAAAGGTTGTTTTTTTTCCTGTTATTAAAATGAATGTTTTTCTTCCATAGTTGCGTCTTCTATATGAATGTAGTCCTATGGCTCATATTGTTGAGCAAGCAGGAGGCGTAGCTTCTGACGGTAAGCAACACATACTAGATATTGTACCTCGTAGTTATCATTGCAGGTCGCCGATTTTTATTGGTTCAAAAGAAGATGTTTATGATTTTTTATCGTTTGTTAAATAAATTATCGTCTATGTAAATTATAGTTTTTATTTGATTTTGTTAAAATTTATTATATTATATCTGTTTTGATTAAGATTATATCTGCTTTGTTCAAAATTTTTTCAATTGTATTAAACCTTTGGCAGTAGCTGGTAGACGCCCTAGTGGAAATAATTTGGACGAATAGAAAAGTTTACCGGAAACAAAATGCATTTTCAAAACCACTTTTCTTTCTTCAATTAAACGCAGTTTCAATTTAAACATTTAAAATGTTTTTTTTTTTTTTTTTTTTTCATATGTTAAACTAGCCTAAATTAAACGACAGATTTGAAATTAATTTTTTTTTTCTTTGATAAAAGGTTATTGATATATATAATTTTTAGGAAATTTGTCGGTAATTTTTTTTTTTGTTAATAAGCGAACGTAATGATGATCTTTTTGTTACAACTGGGTACCTTGTAACCATTTTCCCAGAACTGACTAAAATTATAATGAACTAATTCTGAGGTTTGCTCGAATAGCCTTGCCCGTTGTTTAGATATTTACTTGATATTATTTTTAGAAACTCTTTTGAATGTTTAACTAAGGCGTGTAGGTGACACTCTTAATCCGAGATAGGGTAGGCTTTTTGATACTTTTTAAATCTAATGTCATAGTTGGGTTTTTTAAGTCATTCATTAACAACTTACTTTAACTTCTCTCAAAAGTTTGAATGATTGTAGCATGAAAGATATTCATCATTGCCGATCAAAAAAGACTTGATCTTAACTTTCAAAATATCTTAGTTATCAAGAGGTTTTGAAGACTGATCTCCCTTAAACTCAACACCATGAATTTTAGTTATTTCACGGCCTAGTTTTACATTCTATTCCTCTGCTTTGAAAAAACGTTTTTAGAATTAATGTATTAATCAATACAGTTAAATAGCCTGTTGGTATTTCCTCTGAAAAGATATAGCTCTATGGGAACAAGAACGTTTAAGGTGAGTGACTGAAAATATGTCTAATGTTCGAAACAAGCCTTGGACATATTTTCGCGTCACGTTAAGGAAGGAGGCGTGAACTTCCTGGTTAAATGCACTTCCGCGGTGCTCTGCGACAAGATCGTTAGGTCTTTATGGGGCACCTAAACAAATTTAAAAAATATATATATCTATAATTTTGTAATTGTAAATAAGAATGATGAACAAATATTTTATTGATACTAGCATTGTTAGATTTGTACGTTTATCAATAAAAAAATCTTGAAAAATCTCAATTTTTGAAAAAATGGACTTCGACCCTTATAGAAAAACGCTCTTCAATTGAAAATGAACTCCATTTATGTAGAAAGCCAACATATTTACTTTATTTATGTTGAAAACATATTTACAAATAAAAATTTATTACAGTAATATTAAGAAAAACTAAAAAACATAAAATTATAAAAAAATATTGTTTAAAGTATCTTAAATTAAAAAAAAAGTTTAAAAATATTGTTTTATATAAAAATTTGAAAAGCCTTAAACTTCTAAAAACATCATAACACCCAAAAAAATTTGTTGCTCATATGTCATATAGATGTTAATGTGCTTAGGTAACGAGAAAAGTTTTAATGTAAAATCTTTTTTTTTCTTCAAAATTAATTTACCGGGCGAAGGTCATAATAAATTGCGGATCGTCTGAAAAAAATTATTAAAAACTTAATAGAAACTTAATAAAGAAAAAAAATTAATAAACCCGTCCCAATTTTTTTTTTTTTTTATATATATATATTTATATATTTTTTATATTTTTTTTTTATTTACAATTTTGCAATAAGAAGTTATTGAACATTAATCGTTAACTCAAAACAAAGGTTTTTATTTACTAACATATACTAAATATTATTAAAATAAAACGACTGTATAAAGAATAAGAATATAGAAATAATATAGAAATGGTTGTTGTGCACGGTCGTTCAGACTTACTTATTAAGTGGAAAGTTATTATACGCAAGCAAACTAAAGTTTGCATATTTTAAGAGTTTTAAAAATGGCTACGGATAACAAATATAAAAAAAATTCTTATTGAACAACGAGCTACTTTTCTAATTTTTAGCTATTAAATATGCATTTAGCCGTTTATAAAGAGGAAATTATTATAAAAGTAAAAATTAAATATAAAACCTCAAATTAAATATAAAACCTCTAAAAATGAATAAAACGCAGCAATGAATAAAAATGAATAAAATGCAGAATAAAATACAGCCAGTGCCGTGGCAAGTGGGTCTGGGGCCCCCCAAAAAACTTGTCATTAGGGCCCCAATTTTTTTATTTTAAAAGTGAATAAAATTTACAGATTACTTCGAAACATCTGGCTACCTAACATACTTTAACGTCGCCGTTCATAAGACTAAAAACAATCAAATTAACGCTTAAATTCAATTAGATATTTTTTATAATTGCTAAATTGATACAGAGTTTACTAGTCTAGAGTTTCCTTAACTAATGTAAATGTATTACGCAGATAATACAAGTCGTAAATCATCAAAAAAAGGGTTTGCGACGTGTTTTCATGCTTGCAAACTCATTTATTATGCCTTCATAACTTAATTTACTTGCAACTTCGTTTTCAATCGACAGCATTGCTAAGGAAGACAAACGTTCATCGACCATTGTTGACATATTTAAAGATACTATGAAATATAGCTACATGTATTTATGTATAATTAAGCAAGATTATTTATACTAACCTATGAAATGTTTTAATTAGTTTTAACTTGCTGAAGCTACGTTCTGCACTTGCAACAGAGACTGGTAAAGAAGAATGATTCGTAACGCAATAACTAGATTAGGATAAGTTTCTTGCAACTCTTCTTTGTATATGTAGTTTAGGAAATCTTGTGCAAATTTTAGAAAAGCATTTTTTTCCTCCTTTATAATAATTACAAATCGTTTTAACTCCATTTCTAAATCCTCACAATCTATATCATCAAGCTTTATTTGCAAACTTTTGCAATATACAGACAGAGAATTTTCATTGCAAGCTTTGATAAGACTTAATATATCAATTAATGGCAAAAAGAAATCTGCTTTATACTGATGTTCAGGTTGCCGAGTGTGATCAACACACTCGTATGAATAAATTGATTTTTTTTTTCGTGAACGCGTTATTGGAAAAACCCTTTCAATGCCAAATAATTCTGCGATTTCTGACGCTTTAACACATGCGTCAAAAAATCCATTTTCACGATACTCATAAAGAAATGCATTTGTTGCCTGTATTTCACAAGCTAAGATGTCAAGAGATATTGCAGGAGACAGAAGCAGCTTACTTGATTTGTTGATTTGAAATAAAACGTCATACCAAATAATGATTTTTAATAAGAAAGACCATGTTCTAATATATTCTGTCAGCGGTCGTACTTCAGTGGCTGTTACACCATCTCTCTTTTCTAAGGCATGTTCTTCCAATCTTTCAAGTGCCTCTAAGATTTCTTTTAAATAATAGCGAAGTGGCTTAACACAGTTTATTCTACTTTCCCATTTGGTATCTGATTGTGGTTTGACAGAAACTGCCGTGCCCGATTTTAAAATTTCCCATCGAGGAGAAGGCAATGAAAAGAGTGTATATAACCTTGAAAGAACACCGAAAAAAGAAATTGCACTGATGGATGACTGTGCACCATCAATAATATCAAGATTGAGTGAATGGTTTGCACTAGGAACATATAAGGCTTGAGGATTCATTTCCAGAAACCTTGCTTGAACGTCTTTTACTTTTCCTTTCATATTAGCACCATTATCAAAAGATTGACCTCGACAATCTAAAATATTAAAATCCCAATCTTTTGCCTGATTTAAAAATGCATCAAAAAGCCCTTTTCCAGTGGTTTCATTTACTGTGAGATATCCAAAGAAATTTTCGGAAATGTCGATACCTACTCCAGGATTACATGTTACTGATCGCAGAATAATGCTAATGTTCTTTGTGCGAAACAAAGGTTTTTAGATTGTCTGGCGTACAATCTAAAATGATGGAATAGTACTTTGCCTTTTTTACCCTAGATAGGTTTTTAGATTCGATCTCTTTGGCTAAAAGTCTAATCAACTCGTTCTGTGTGTCATTGCTCAAATAGTGCTCCTTGGTATCTTTGTTCTGAATTCTTTGCATAAGCTCATTGAGAACGGTATCGTACTTAGCCAGTAATTCAAACACCTCAAGAAAGTTTCCATTGCTTTTTGAACCAATGGTTGTGTCTGAACCACGGAATGCAAGATTTCTTGCAGAAAGACATAATGTCAAGTATTCTTTCTAACACAGACGTAATGTCAAGTATTCTTTCTAACACAGCTCTCCAAAATGTCCACTCTTTATGAAGCAACTTTTGTTGTTGCTCGTCTATGGTAGTTTGATTTGCTATACCTGCATTACCAAAATTGAGGGGAAAAAATTAAATGAGAATAAAAAAAGTAACAAAACAATAAATTAAAAAAAATATCAGTTAACCTTTTCGTAAAGTCACCCACTTTTCAAAGCACTTAAAATGTGCATTACATGTTTTGTGTTCTTTAAGTTTTTTTGATAAGACTTCCCAAGTGTTTATTCCTTGTCGGAATGGAGAAGAAGTTATCCCAAAAAGTTTTCAACAAAAACAAAACACTTTATTGCTATTTAAAGAATATATGAGCCATGTCCGTTCAAAGATTTCTCTATTCTTCATCTTGCGATTATGATAATTTATTGAAAATCGTCTTCTTTCTAAATTGTATGGAAAATCAATTTCAATCTTTTTGGAACCCCGTTTAACAATGTTACACCTCTGTGCGTCAGAAACATTATCTGGTCACTCAGAAGGATTATCACTGAGAAAAATAGGCGGAATTGTTATACCATTTGATGTAGACTCGCATATCAACCTATCTGACTCTACTCTAGTATTCAATTAATGATAATCAGAATTATTTGTAGTTTCTGTTGGTATCGATAGTTTGGGGTACTTTGTGATTTCCTCCATGGCTGCAGCTTTTTCTCTTCTCTTAGCGGCACCACTTTTTACTTTTTTCATACCAATAATTATATTGTGAAAAACTAACGAAAGATAATTACAATTTTTGCAAACCTTCTTTCATTGTTTTTTATGATATAAAAAAACTAATAACGCATAATACTAATAAAAAAGTTTAAGAATGTATAAATCATACTACATAAACACAAAATTTTAAAAATGTGTTTACTAATATTCACTTTTTGCATGATAGTTGGAAAAGTATGGGGCTGCTTTTCCAATTATCATACCACACACCTTCATTGAGCATTAACCTTTTGTTATCATTTTTAATAATCATTCATCAAATATATATTTTAATTATTGATTTATCAAATGTATAATTTTCTTTCTTTTCGTGAGTAAATATTTACTTTTTGATAACTATTTTTGCACTGAGATAGCTTTCTTATTTGTATTTAAAATTAAAGTGAATTATTGAACAAAAGCTCTGTAAATATGTAGTAACAAATTTTGTGACAAGTAGACGAATAATTACTGATGAACAAGCAGGAAATATAAGGAGATGCATAAAACCGTAATAATACGGGATGGGCATTTGGGAATCACTTTTATTTTGCGTAATATTACGGCACGGACATTAAGAAACCACTTTAAGTTTGCGTTATATTACGGTTTGGACTGGTATCGAGATAAAGATTTTTTTTTTTTTTTTTTGCATGAAAAATATTATTGCTTTTATTACGCTTGCATAATTTAGGTAATATCGTGATTAAAAGGCCAAGTTTTTTATTAATAGTTACAGTAACAATATATATTTCAATACTTTTATTATAAAAAATACAAAAAAAAATAATTTAACTTTTGATAAGGGGCTCCCCCAACTGAAGGGTGTGGGGGAGCCTAGCCACGGCTCTGATTACAGCAATAGCTACTTTAGTGTGTTTTGTTTATTGTTTTCAAATCGTTTTTAAAAAAATTTTGAGCGTAAAAATTTTTAAATTTTAACTTTTTCAGATAGATGAACTGTTGATCTTTCTTAGAATGTTTACTGATATTAGTATTCAATTTTTTTTCAAGAATAAAAGATATTTTTTTAACATTAACTTTTTGTAAGCTGTTGCTAGGCTTCTCTATAGTCACAATACATAATTACATTCAGGGGCGGATCCAGCATTTTTTGGTGTTTGAGATAGCTAACTTCCAGACATGGAGCAAACTCCAAACATTTATACGTTTATACTTATATCAAATAAGGATGGTTTGCAAAAAATTGCGATGATTGGAGACTGGGAACAAAAAAGCCCCAAAATTTGAGACGTACCCGCCCCAAACGTGAGAGCAACAAGTTGATAAAATATTTTTTGTACTATTCTCAACAAGACTTATATTTATCTATAGATTTTAAATTTCATTGTAAAATATTTCAGCGTTCAAAAATTATGACCATATAAAAATTGTAACCCCCTCGAATTGAGGGGGATTCAAACTTTACATGGTCATAATTTTTGAACGCTGAAATATTTTACAATGAAATTTAAAATCTATAGATAAATATAAGTCTTGTTGAGAATAGTACAAAAAATATTTTATCAACTTGTTGCTCTCACGTTTGGGGCGGGTACGTCTCAAATTTTGGGGCTTTTTTGTTCCCAGTCTCCAATCATCGCAATTTTTTGCAAACCATCCTTATTTGATATAAGTATAAACATATAAATGTTTGGAGTTCGCTCCATGTCTGGAAGTTAGCTATCTCAAACACCAAAAAATGCTGGATCCGCCCCTGACATTGATGTGAGTTATATATATATATATATATATATATATATATATATATATATATATATATATATATATATATATATATATATATATATATATATATATATATATAAAAGATATGTTAGCGTATTTTAAAAACAGAGTGCTATAACTAAAAAATATATGTATTTAAATGAGCAAAGTTTGATCAAATCAAGGGGGCTGTTAATTTTATATAGTCATAACTTTTAGGCACTTTAATACAATTAAATTAAATTGAAAAACTGAAGGTATATTTAGTTTAAGATAGAGAAAATAAGCATTTTATAAAGTCATTATCATCATATTTTGGCAGAGGCAGTTAGCTTGTAGGAGAATTTTTGTTCACAATTCATGAAATTTTTTGCAAAACATTTAGATTTGACGTAAGCATGACTATAATTAAATTTAATTCAAAAAATACTTTTTTTAAATGTTTTTTGAAATTTCTAAGACAACTACATGTTATTAGAGTAATAACATTCTAATAATGTTATTATTCAAGTTTGTGATAATTTATAATGATATGACCTTGAGCTAATTTCATTATAAACTATTAATAAAAGCAGGTTGATTTGATTCAAATAATTAGAGGTTTTTTGAGTCAAGTCTTGAATCACATATATATATATATATATATATATATATATATATATATATATATATATATATATATATATATATATATATATATATATATATATATATATATATATATATATATATATATATATATATATATATATATATATATATATATATATATATCTTGCAAATAGAGGACGTTTTTATTTAACAAAAGGAAAGAAAAAGGAAAGAAATAAAATGGAGAAAAAAAAAATCAAAATACCATTTTAAAAAATATCAAATTATAAAACAAAATGAAGTAAAAACAAGATCAAAAGATATAAAGAAATAAAGATAAAAAGCAAGTCAAAATAACGTACCATATAGGAAAAAAAAGATTCGGTAAAAGAAAAAATAGTTCGAAAATGTAAAGTAAAAAAAAAAAAAAAGTACGAAATGAATTACGTAAGTCTACCAGAAATAATAATGTTATTAAAAGAAAAGAACAAGAAAAAACTTTTAAATTTTGTTTAGTGAATACATTGTTTATATTGATGTGTATTTTTATTGTTATATTTATATGTCATGTATTTTTGTGTATGCATTTAATTCATTTTTTACTTTTATTAACCTTAGTTTTATGTATAATAAGTGTTTTTCTGTTCATATTTTTTTTATTTGTTTATTATACTAACAATATATTTTTGTTATTATATTATAAAAACTAAAATTATTATATTTATCCAGTCTTTGTATTCTTTTATCGATAATCGTTTTTATGTCATCGTTATTAGTTACGTTTTGTCAGTTTATTACTGTTTGTAACTCTATGTAAATATAATTGATTGTTGTATGGAAGATTGTATTGATTTAATTCTTTTAGTTAGGGTAGGGTGGGGCAAGAGGCCCAGGTGGGGTAAAAGGCCCATCCTGCAGTTATAAAGAACCTAGGTAAAATATTATAATTATTGTTTTGTAGTATGAATGATAAATGTGTAACAGTGTTGCGAGCGAATTTTGGTGAACTTTTAGTAGAAATATAATTTTTAACAGAATATTGAAGACTTGACAGGTAATAAGAATAGGACATTTTGATTTTTTGCGTAATTTTAAAATTTTTTTATAGATTATTGTTAAACTTAGTTGATTATTTAAATGAGTTTATGTAATTGTAAGCGTACAAATTATGTATTGATTATTTACATAACATTCATTGTACCATAGAATAATATGTTTTTATCAATTTTTGCACCGACCATTTTGGGGCAAAAAGCCCAGTTTGTTAATGGGGCAAAAGGCCCATCCTGAGCTTTTTACCCCTTGCATTATTTAAGTAGAATGTTCAAATTTTAACTTTATTTTATTTATAGATATGGTTAGAAATTACAAAAGGAAGACAAAAAGAGGAAGTTATGAAGCAGAAGGTTTACAACGGCCTTTAGATTCAGTAAAAAATGGTATGTCTTTGCGTAAAGCTGAAAACAGTTTTGGAGTTTCAAGGAAGACATTGAGAAGGCATTTGCAGGGCAAAGTAAGACAAGTTGGGAGCAATAAATTAGGAAATCATGTGAATACTTTTTCTATTGAAATTGAACAAGATCTTGTTAAACACATCCAAATGATGGAAAGAGCATTATCAGCTAGAAACGAAACAAGTGAACCTACGAATACAAATGAAGAAGCCGGCAATGCGGTGGATGATGAAGCATTGGTTAATGTGATGGAGACTGATAGGATTGCAACAGGAGATAGCAATGAGTCCGATGAAAATCAACTAGGTAAAACAGCTGATCATCCTGGTTTATCCGAAGCATTGTAGATTATATCAGAACTAATCCCTATTCCAAGGATAAAGAATGTACGCAGTCGCAAACGAAAAACCGAAGCAGCAACTGTAATAACTTCTAGCCCTTATAAAGCAATGTTAATTGAAGCAAATGCAAAGAAGACAAAACAGAACAAGCAAGTAGTAGTTGAAAATAATAATGAGGAAAACGATGAAAACGAAATCGATGTAATCGCAGACAAATCCAAGAGAACGAAAAGTGGAGATGAC